GAAGGATAGCCCATCACAGAGCAACATGTCCCTGCCTTGTAGAGAAGGGTGATGGCTAGGTTACACCTGTAGAGCACTTAGAGGGTGAATGACATGATCTCAAACTACTGAGTTACTGTCACCACCACATTGGAATTTGCCAGAGGGAAGTGGCGTACACCCAGTTTTCATCTAGAGATGTAGCACCCCCTATGCTTTAGGAGGGGGACTTCTTCATATCCTACTTATGGTCCATTTATAGATGGCCCAGTGACCTTAGGATTTAGGTGCCACATTAAACCAGCATTACATGAAAGCTAAAGCTTGTACAGAACTTACCTCACAGTAGCTAAAGTTGAATTTCCTCGGCAGCGTTACCATAGTACAGGAGTCAGCACTCCTGCCACTTTGGACTATTCATCTTTTAGTTAAAGGAGGTAGGGCACTTTAAACACCCCCATCCTCTATTCCCAAGTAGGACTAGAGGTCCTGGCTTGAAAATGAAGATGATGTTTTCCACAAATATATATTTGCCATTACCGGTCTCCCCCCACCCTTCAACCCCCACCCCCTCCAAGACTTCCACATCAATCCTGATGAGTTTGACAGAAGGAACCAGCAGTACATATGCCTGGAATGTGGAAGCCAATGACTGAGGCTTGTTCACAAGAGAGGCACTGAGTATGAAAGTACCAGCTCCCATTTTGTGAAACAGAACAGGTAGCTCAGCTGTCTAGAGATACTCTCCACAAGCCTGGCCAAGGGTAGTCAAGGCCCAAAGGTTTGTCCATTAAAAAAGGATTTGGGGGTATAGCTGTACCAGCAAGTGCCCCTAGTAGATACACAGCTTGTACCAACCTAAAGGAACCCTTGAGTATAGTTTATACCAGTTCCCTGAACCAAATAAGCTATACTGGCAAACCCCCTTACCCCTCCAACCAACCTCATACCAGCAAACGTTTTTAGTATCGATCTGACCAAAGATTCCAATCAGAAATCCTGGCTAGCAGCTGGGGTTCTTCCCCTGCAACAAAACCCCAGCGATGGAGCCAAGAGTCTTCGGGGCCAGCAGGTATCCAGACCACGTGCAATTGAGATGTTTTCTGTTTGTGGGTTAAAGTGATGGCTGCTGGCAGTAAAACAAACAAACACGCATCTGTGGGAAGCCCTCAGGTCCCTCCTGCTCCCAGTTTCTTGGGCTTGGCCCAAATTGCTGCTCCTCCTCTCTGTGCACCTTCCAAGACAAGCCGTGTGGTTCACCTGGTACACGGCCCCATTCCAGTCCAACAGTGGGGAGAGAGTTCAAACATTACCGTAAGTCCCACCAACCCTTCAGCCAACGTGGTAGCCCATCTGGGTTAAGGATTTGGTGACATTGGCTGGTATCCTAGTCAGTTCTGAAAGGATTAATCACCCATGAAATTCCTCTACTCAAATCCACTGTAGGTTTACTAGTAGATGGAGACACTCCATTCCAGCTCTGCCTAACCTTCAAGATAAAAATCTCCCCATAGGTCAATTATATCAACTTTCAGGCCCCTGTGCCTGTGCAGATGAAGGTTTACTTACCAGCGCCTGCAGCAACAGTGCTTCCATTTCATAAAGCGATGGACACTGCTGGGACTTTCCACTCTACTTAGAGCCACCCTGAGTCATGGTGCCTTCAGCTTGGTCACTGGCAGCTTTATTAAGTTATAGCATCCTTCAGGCAACTGATGGTGCTCTGAGAGATCCCACCTACTAAGCCCGTGAAGAGAGGCAGCCAATACATAGGAATCTGCCCCAATCCCAGGGACCTCTTGAGGATATTTTGCTAGAGGCCAGCCAGAGCAGCCTATGTGAGATATCACACATTGGCCAGACCTCACAGCACATAGGTGTAAAGCCAGGGTCCATTCCACCTCGGCTCCCCTGTTATTTACCAGTTGATATGGATGGACAGGAACAGCACTAAGGAAGCCTTTGCCCTGAAGGTGGAAATGACTGAGGCCGGCTGGAGGAGCAGTTCTCAAGAAGCTGAAGCGTTCCTGGTTCCAACAGCAACCATGATGAAAATGGCCAAGTTTTGCTCCTGGAGGAGAGCTGGGAGTTTGGACCAGCCACACGTGCATCCCTGGAAGAGCAGCATGCTCTCTGCAGGAAGAATGGTATTGTGCACACAGGAGCTGAGGAATTGCCACTTGCTCCCAGCTGCAGCGGAAACTGAGCTGGTGCAAGTTTTATTGGCAGCAACCCATCCACAACACTCCTCCTGCAACGGGATCAGTATCATACAAGACTAGAGGGAGAAGGGGAGCATTGAGGCAATAGGGGAATTTATAGGAGGAAACATCCATTCTTTCCCCTGCATGCTGCAACCTCCATAGCTTCAAGAAGAGAGGAGACAGCAGCTGAGGAGACCCTCTACAGCTTTATCTGCAGTGGGAGGATGTGAGGGAAGGGAGGTCAAAGCACAGTAAGGAGTGGAGCATGCAGACAGGCAATATATGCTTGTGGGCTGCCTTCACCATCAGAGAGACTGGGGAAGTCCAGGAACCACCTCCAATCTAACAAGTTGACAGTGCAATAGAAGCAGTTTATTTTTAGGCTAATTTGCATATGAAGTCTGCTTTAAAGGTTGCTGCATACTTTCCATTGCTAAAGAAACCGTCATCAGCTCCATCACCAAGGTACAAGCCAGATCTGATGATACCGCAGCAATAGGGACCATACATTCCTAAACTTGCTATAGTGATGCACCGCCCTCTAGTGGTCAAACACTTGAAGAGGCGTAAACAGCTTTCAGTTCATTCAGTATATCAACCAACAGTGATAGGGCTTGGAGAAGGAGGAAGCAGTCAGCTACCCTCTCCCAAGAGTACAGACTAGTGGAGGGGACACAGCAAGTCTTGGCCCTGGCACAACTAAAGCAGACCTCTTAGGGTAAATAGTTTTGTTTCCAAACAGTACGTTGTGTCTTGTAATATGCAGAGAAGAGGAGGGTGGTCGACTGGGAGGGCCCCACAAAATTAACGGTTGTGAAAAACATGTCACAGACAGCAAAATCTGGCCTTGTGTATACAATACTTTTATCCTATACAGATTTCACAGGGGAGACCGGTGTTCCTCAAACTGGGGGTGCTGAACCAAAATGGAGTTGTGGGGTGGAGGGGGTCACAAGGTTATTGTACAGAGGTGCCAGTATTGCCACCCTTACTTCTGTGCTGCCTTCAGAACTGGGTGGCCGGAGAATGGCGGCTACTGGCCAATGGCCCAGCTCTAAAGGCAGCAGCACAGAAGTAAGAATGGCAATACTATACCATGCCATCCTTACTTCTGCACTGCTGCTGGCAGTGACGCTGCCTTCAGAGCTGGCCTCCCTATCAGCAGCCACTGGCCTCCAGTGGCCCAGTTTTGAAGGCAGCATGCCACCAGCAGTAAGGGTGGCAATACCACAACCCCCCTACAATAATCTTGTGACCCCCCCAATAACCCAGTTTTGGGCTAGGACCCCCTACAGTTATTTAAATCTGAACATTTCACAGTGTTGTATCTGAAATCATGAAATTAATGGTTTTAAAAATCCTAATACTGTGAAATTGACCAAAATGGACTGCGAACTTGGTATGGCCCTATCAATTGGAAATCAGGCCTCCTAGGTTCCAGCTGGTGGCAGAGCCGGGGTCACAGTATGATTGCGGGTAAGTCACTTGACCTTTTGACATCATTTCATCCACCTGGACTGTCGTCCTCTGTAAAATAGGGTTAGTTCCACCAACCCCCCCTCACCGGGATGTCAACAACTAGTGAAGTTTATGGCTGTACAGTCCTTTGAACATGTAAAGTGCTATAATACTTAGCATTTATTAATTTTCCACGTGACAGCCGGCTGTGGGGCTCTGCGAGGGCTCACAGGTCCCTGGAAAGCAGTTTTATATATGCGTGTGTGTATTTAGGGACATCCCTGTAGGAAGGTTGAGACAGTGCAACTCCACCTGTTGCTCATAATTGTATAATTGAGAAGTATGCTGTTATCTGAACTCTGATTCTCCAAGGTGGAGTGGTTTGCATAGTCACTACAAGGTTACTTCTCTGTAACTAGAGCACTCAGCTCAATTGATGTGCTGATTTACTGAAGTAATGAGAATGCTCCAAACAGACCACAACTATGGCTGCCTTAGCTTCTCACCCTCCTCCTCATCTTGATGTCTCCATTTAGTAAAAGATCTCACTTAGTGTGTGGAGTGTAGCAAAAGCATAGGTGCTGACTTCCTCAGTTCCTGAGAGGTGTTTGATCCCGCTCACCCCAGGCCCTGCCCCCACCCCACTGAACAGCTGATCTGTAGCAGATGGGAGGCAGTGGGGAGAAGGTGCTGATCCACAAGGCAGCTGGTGGGTGCTAATCACTCACTTTTTTTTCCCTAGAGGCCCTAGAGCACCCATAGAGTCAGCACCTATGAGCAAGGGGGAGTGGGAGTAAGGACACTGAGGAAAGCTGGGGTTAGGTAGGGTGGCTGGGTGAGAAGGAAGCATTCAGGACTCCATGGTTGTTGTGGGAATAGTGTGATGAGGCCTTCTAAGGTCAATAACCAAAAGCACACACATTCACTGGAGGAATTATAACTCTTGTATTCTGTTAACACAATACAGACAGCACCCTGGGCTAAACTAAGTGGCGCTTATTCAAGTACCTCCAGCCCCAGAGTTTATTTAGCCCTGAACACACTCATTGCCTTGAAAACAAGACATGTCTCTTGCCTACAACTGTAATGGCATGAGTTTTTTTTTTTTTTTTTTTATTAAAAAAGACACCAAATTTCTAGTGAACACAAAGCACCCTCACCCAAAGTTCCAAAGAGTGGGAGGAGATGTTTCCACAATACCACACCAGTAATTTCTCACAGGCAGGCCTCTCTGGCAGCCCCTGTTGCCCTATGAAGAGGTCAATGCCAGGTGCTTCTTACCACAGCACCAAGCCTCCATCACAAGGAAATTCTTATACAAAGGAGAAAGGACAGAGCAAACATCACAGTGCACAAGGGTTGGGTTGTGGGTTTTTTAAGCAAATCTCTTTATTGCAGAAATACCCTCTATGTTTTAGATCTGTACATGCGTTTCTTCCAGTAGGAAGAGGTTCCTAAAAGACAAAGAAAAGCTCAGCAGGGGCTCCACTTCCTTTTTGCTCAGTGTATGGCTCTTGTTCTCCAGTTCAGATGCCAACAAATAAGCTACCTTTGGGGACAAACCTCTAGTTACTATAAGATGCTTATAGAAATGCTAGCTTCACTTCAGAGCAATAAAAAGGTGCCGCCCCTGTAAGCGTCAGGCTGGAGGGATCTGTACAAAGAAGAGGGGGTTCAGGAAAGACTCAATCACCTTAGGAATGCGATAGCAACCTTCCCCAGTGCTAGCTGCCTACATAGTTACCTTTCCCTGGAGGGATGGCATCTGGGGTGAAAGGGAAGTGCAGTCTCCATGGATCATTCAGTCCTTGGCCCACTGCTGAGACTACTACTCCCCTGGAGGCTTTTGCACTTCTTTACTCTCTGCCAAGGGAGGAGCAGGTAGCCAGCCAGCCTACCACGTTAGTTGGAATTGGAGACTTTGCCTGGAGAGCCAGTGCACAGGGCTTCATGCAACCCTGATACATGGCACACATCACTATTGAAGGCAGACTCACCACCAGGCACCTGTACCCAAGACCAGGATCACATTCCGTAGCTAGAAATGCCTCCACAGGCCAAGTAAAGTAGCCCCCACCTTCCCCTGCAAGAGCAATGACTTCCATCCACCACTGCAGGACCATCCCTCCCCAAGCCTCCTATGCCAGTGAGAGAGATTGGGGACCCCAGGCCAGCTCCTTTTGGGAGGTGGGTGGAGGGAATTCACCCAAAGTACTTTAGAGCTGCCCCTTGCTGCTCGCCACAGTCAGCACAACCGCCAGATCCATTTCCCTTCGTTACAGAGATGCCAACATGTCCGAGGTTGGTAGGTGTCACCTGTCCCTTTATGATCCCCAAAATTGGGCAGCACATGCGCCAGGAGCATGAACACCCCAACCTCATTTGAGTTTCCAAGAGGGCAGCAGGCAAGGGTCACTAGGCAAGACCAGAGCAGCAGTCACCAGCTGGCCATTTCAGGGGTTTTGCGGCAGGGCCAGAAGAGGAGGGTGAATGGAAGCTAGTACTCTGAATATTGTAGGTCTCAGTTAGCAGCAACATCACTGCACACACAACCAGATGTCCAGGCACCAAGCCACCCCATTTCCTCACCCAGAATGGAGCCTGCAATCCAACCATTAGCTGTTGTGTGGAGCCAGCTATTGGGATACCCACTGTAGCGACTCCCCTTAAAACCCATGATCCAGATACCAGCAAGAGGGATTCCAGGCCCCGTAGCACTTAGTCAGCAATCCAAACATGGACAAACTCTTCCCTATATCCCATGACCAGGACTCCAGTGGCAGCCGTCCCTCCCTGACCAGCAATCAAGATACAGATGCCTTTGTCTTAACATCATAATTAAAAACAAAGAATTAACAATAGTAGATTGCATACTGGAAAAATAATTAGTCATCACCTCTATAAAAGTTGGCAACCCAAGAACATGCCCAGCAGAGCCAGTCCGGGCTGAGTCCACAGACATCTGTGCTATTCAACAGTGTCTAAAGTGCCACCCGAGCCAACAGGAGCCAGTGAAAGGGAGGACTAGGGATGGAAGAAGGGGCTATGAAATTAGCGAAGCCCAAAACCCATCTGCCTCTGTTCCAAGAGCAGCTTAGCAATGACATCACAAGCTGCTGGATGGGCCATACTTGGAATGGGTGGGCGTTGCTCCTTCCAAGAGGCTTCTAATCGAATGAGAAGGGGAAGGGAGCTACATGGAAGGCAGCATTTGGTTCACTCCAAAAATGGGAGAAGTGATTTTGGGGAGTCTGTCTAGAACATTGTATGCTCAGATTCAGTCGAAGTTGGATGGGGACAAGGGCAGGAAGAAGACAAGGTGAGGCTAATTGGAAGGGAAGCATTCTTTCACCCACAATGTACTCCAAAGGGTGACCCATCACCAGTAGGCCAAGCCCTCAGTCTTCTTGCTGGTTCATTGGATTCCCAGCTCATGTGGTGAAGAGAGGTGGCATGGGGAGGAGGATTATTCTATTGTAGGCCTGATGGACTGGAAGGGAATAAAGATGGGAAGGAGACTGTTAAACACACAGTTAGCAGTGAAAACTTCGTGCCCTCTCAGGTTGATCAGATCATATGATGCAAGATAGATAAGTGGCCCGCTTCACAGAGTAGGAACTATCCAGAGACAGGAGAGGGGCTGCCCAGGGCCCTGATCACCAGAAGATTCATACTGCATTACCCCACTACAGTTCCTCGTGTTTTGAGAGAAATGGGATCTCATTGGAGTAATGGTCAGTGTGATGGGACAGTCTGAGGGGAATGAGGGCAGGAGGAATGTTCTGTTTGTGCCTCTGCGGTGGGGTAGCTCCAGGGTCAGAAGACTCATTACTTGGGTACTTTGCTGTATTCTTCTCTGTGTATGTTCTTGCAGAGCGAAATGGCCAGCACCATCCCCAACAGCTGGAAAACAGGCATTGGGAAAAAGGCGAGAGAGTCAGAAAACAGGCAGGCTCAACGGGAAAAGCAAACATGTTGTGGTAACTGGGGTGATCAGAGTGTAAGACAGGTCCTGCTGCCACAATGGGCTGTTAACAGCCAGCATACAACGTGCTGCACAAAAAGTTGTCTTAAAATCTTTGCTACTCTGGTTTAGCCTTTTATATGGGTACCATTAGGATTTCACTAACTGAGACTACTGGCAAGACCATGGACAACAGACACTCCCAGAACAGCAGCTAGTACTTGGTTAGATTCACCTTCCAATCAGTAACCTACAGATATTGAACATTCTCAGTTTGAAGGGCACTCTCGTTGGCTGATGGAGATTTGAACCCATCCCAATCAGCATCAGA